TAATATTCCCCTGGTACATGCCTCCTCCCCCTGGTGTTTGTTTACTATGGTACGTGCCCCTGGTATTACCTCCCCCCTGGTATTGCCCCCCGGTGCGTACCTCCCTTATATATTTCCCCCGGTACATATATTAACTGCTATATGTTACCCCCTGGTCCATGCTTCCCTATAATGCCCCTTTCCCCAGTCCGTTCCTCCCCGGGTGCCTATATTCTCCCCCGGTGCGTACCCCCCGGTGCGTGCCTTCCCCCGGTGTATCCTTTCCCCGGTATATATCTCCCCGGTGTGTTTCTCCCCGGTGTACCTCCCCCCTGCCCCCCCCTTATGTACCTGCGTTCCTCCCCGGTGTAAACTTTACCCCGGTGTATACTTTTCCCCCGGTGTGTGTCCCCTGGTATATACCTTCCCCCGGTACATCCCTCCCCCTGGTATTATCCCCTTCCCCCCGGTGCGTACCTCCCCCGGTGTATATCTCCCCCGGTATATGGTGGTGTATATATTCCCCTGGTATATACCTCCTTAAAACACTCCCCCGGTGCGTATATGTGTCCACTGGTATATGCCTGTGTATATCCCCTGTATACATGCCTTTTCCCCCCCTGGTATATATTTCCCCTGGTATATGTTTCCCCGGTGAGTCTTTACCTCTTTACCCCGGTGTGTATTTGCCCCGGTACATGTTTCCCCCGGTGCTTTTACCCCCGGTGCCTCCCCTGGTGCATGCTTTAATTCCCGGTAAGTCTTTGCCCCGGTACGTATCTCCCCTGGTACATGCCTCCCCCGGTGCGTGTTTCCCCCGGTGCGCACCTTTGCCCCGGTGCGTATCTCCCCCGGTGCGTATCCCCCCGGTACATGCCTCCCCGGTGCGTACCTCCCCCGGTGTGTACCTCCCCCCGGTGCATGCTCCCCCCGGTGCGTGTTTTCCCCTGGGTGTGTTTACCCCGGTGCATGTTTACACCAGTATATACCTCCCCCTTGGTGTGTCCCTCTCCCCGGACTGTATACCTCCCCCGGTGCATACCTCCCCTGGTACATACCTCCCTCCCCCCGGTGCGTACCCCCCGGTGCGTATCTCCCCTAGTATATATTTATTCCCCTGGTACACATTTCCCCCCGGTACACGTGTTTGCCCCTGCTATATGCCTTCCCCCAGTGCATGCCTTCCCCGGTACGTATCTCCCCTTAGTTCATGCGTGTTTACCCCTGGTGCGTATTGCCCCTGGTGTGTGGTTTTTCCCCGGTATATATATATCCCCGGTGTGTCCTTCCCCCCAGTGTATTCCCCTGGTGTGTGTTTACCCCCGGTGCATGTTTACACCAGTATATACCCCTGGTGCAAACTCCCCGGACTGTCCCCCGGTATACCTCCCCCCTAGTGTTTACCCCGGTGCGTGCGTACCCCCGGTATTAACTAGTATATATTTACATACACATTTTACCTAGTATATGCCTTCCCCAGTGCGTACCCCCCTTAGTTCATACCTTCCCTGGTGCGTATCTCCCCTGGTGTGTTTTTTCCCGGTATATATATCCCCCCGGTGTGTCCTTCCCCAGTGTATTTACCCCGGTGCATACTTTACCCTGGTGCAAACTTCACCCTGGTATATGCCTTGCCCTAGTACATACCTTTTTCCTAGTATATGCCTTCCCCGGTGCATACCTCCCCCTGGTGTGTATCTCCCCCGGCACCCCGTGGTGTTTCCCCTGGTGTATGCCTCCCCTGGTATATGCCTGCCCCTCCCCGGTGCGTACCTCCCTCTGGTGTGCCTCCCCCACGTGGCTTCCCCTGGTGTATGCCTCCCCTGGTATATACCTCCCCGGTGTGTGCCTCCTCCCGGGTGTGTATTACCCCTGGTGTGTGTATTTCCTTGCTATATATACTCTGCATATGCTAAAAACACTGCCTGTGTATATTCCCTGGTATATATAGTTTGCGTTTATTTACTTTTAATATATATGTCACCCGGTACATGTTTACCCCGGTGCGTACCTCCCCTGGTATATACCTCCCCCTAGTGTACCTCCCCCGGTGTGTATCTTCCCCGGCACGTGGCTCCCTCTGGTGTATGTCTCCCCGGTGTATACCTCCTCCGGTATGTGCCCTCCCGGGTGTGTATTACCCCCAGTGTGTGTATTTCCTTGCTATATATACTCTGTATATGCTTAAAACACTGCCTGTGTATATTCCCTGGTATATATAGTTTGCGTTTATTCACTTTAATATATGCGTCACCCGGTACATGTTTACCCCGGTTTATGTTTACCCCGGTGCGTGTTTGCCCCGGTGCGTGTTTGCCCTGGTGTGTACCTCCCCCTGGTACATGCCTCCCCCGGTGCGTGTTTACCCCGGTGCGTGTTTGCCCCGGTGCGTACCTCCCCCCCGGTGCGTACCCCCCGGTGCGTACCTCCCCGGTGCGTATCTCCCCCCAGTGTGTACCTCGCGCTGGTGTATACTTTACCCCGGTGCGTTTTACCCCGGTGCGTACCTCCCCCTGGTACATGCCTCCCCCGGTGCGTGTTTGCCCCGGTGCGTCTTTACCCCGGTGCGTACCTCCCCCTGGTATATGCCTCCCCCGGTGCGTGTTTGCCCCGGTGCGTCTTTACCCCGGTGCGTGTTTACCCTGGTATGTGTTTACCCCGGTGTATACCTCCCCCAGTATATATCCTTTCCTGGTACATATATCCCCCCGGTGCGTCCCCCCCGGTGCGTATCTCCCCCAGTGTATATTCTTTCCCCGATACATGTGTCCCCCCGGTGCGTCCTCCCCCCTGGTATATAGCTCCTGCTAGTGTGTATCTCCCCCAGTTCGTGTGTTTACTAGTATATACCTACCCCTGGTACATGCCTCCCCTTGGTGCATGCCTGCCCCGGTGCGTATCTCCCCCGGTGTGTGTATCTGCCCCTGGTATGTATTTCCCCGGCACATGGCTCCCCCTGGTATATGCCTCCCCCCTGGTACGTGGCTCCCCTGGTGCGCACCTCCCCCGGTGTGTGTGTCTCTCCCCGGTGTGTATATCTCTCCCCCTGTGTATATACCTCCCCTTAGTATATATCTCCCCGGTGCATACCTGCCCCTGGTGCGTACCTCCCCTGGTATATATTTTTTCCCGGTATATATATCCCCCGGTGCGTGTTTACCCTGGTGCGTGTTTATCCCGGTACGTGTTTACCTTTGGTACATGCTTTCCCCGGTGCGTACCTCCCCTGGTATATATCCCCCGGTGCGTACCTCCCACCGGTGTATACCCTCCTTGGTACGTATTTCACCCCCGGTACACGTGTTAACTGCTATATGCCTTCCCCTAGTGCGTACCTCCCCCGGGTATATGCCTTGCCCTGGTATACACCTCCCCCGGTGCGTACCTCCCCTGGTACATGCCTTCCCCCGGTGTGTACCTTCCCTCGGTGCATATCTCCCCCCTGTGTGTGTGTGTACCCTAGTATATATATATTCCCTGGCATATATAATTTTAGTATATATATCCCCTGTCCCCTAGTACATGCGTCCCCTGGTATATATATCCCTGGTGTATATACTTAGCATGTGCTCCCTTTACTTTATACACCTCCCTGCGTGTATATATTTTACGTGTGCTTTTTCTAATACATGCCTTTTTTTATACTTTTATACCTTCCTCTAGTATATATTTTTTACTACTATATACCTCCCCCAGCGCATACCTTCCCCCAGTGCGTACCTCTCCCCGGTGCGTATTTTTCCTGGTATATATCTCCCCGCGGTGCATACCTGCCCCTGGTATGTACCTCCCCCGGTGTGTGTGCCTCCCCCGGTGCGTGTGCCTCCCCTGGTATATATCTCCCCCGGTACATGGCTCCCCTGGTACGTAACTCCCCCGGTGCGTACCTCCCCTGGTACGTGGCTCCTGCTGGTGCGTATCTCTCTGCGGTGACTATGTTCCCCTAATACATATTTACACTAGTACATGCCTCCCCCGGTGTACATACCTCCCCCGGTGTGTATACCTCCCCGGTGTGCATACCTCCCCCGGTGTGTATACATCCCCTTGGTGTGTTACCTCCCCCACAGTGTGTGTACCTCCTCCTAGTATACATATCTCCCCCGCTGCATATCTACCCCCAGTGTATATCTCCCCGGGTATATACCCCCTCGGTGCGTGTGTTTACTAGTATATACCTCTCCCTGGTATATGCCTTCCACCGGTGCGTACCTCCCCTGGTATATGCCTCCCCCGGTGCGTACCTTCCACCAGTGCGTGTTTACCCTGGTGCGTCTTTGCCCTGGTGTGTGTTTACCCCGGTGCGCCTTTGCCCTAGTACATGCCTTCCCCCGGTGTGTACCTCCCCCGGTGCGTACCTCCCCTGATACATACCTCCCCCGGTGCGTACCTCCCCCGGTGCGTACCTCCCCTGGTCCGTGCCTTCTCCCGGTGCATGCCTTCTCCCGGTGCATACCTCCACCTAGTATATATACTTTGCGTTTGTTTACTTTAATATATGCGTCCCCTGATATATATTTGCCCCGGTGCGTTTACCCCGGTGCGTGTTTGCCCTGGTGTGTGTTTACCCCCGGTGTGTTTTTGCCCCGGTACGTACCTCCCCTGGTACATGCCTCCCCATTGCATGTTTGCCCCGGTGCGTGTTTGCCCTGGTGCGTCTTTTGCCCCGGTGCGTGTTTCCCCGGTGCGTGTTTACCCCGGTACATGCCTTCCCCGGTGCGTACCCCCCCGGTGCGTACCTCCCCCGGTGCGTGCCTCCTCCCCTGGTGCATGCCTGCCTCTCCCGGTGCGTACCCCCCCCTAGTATATATATATTTTTTTACGGTACATGCCTCCCCGCGGTGCGTACCTCCCCTAGTATGTATCCTTTCCTGGTATATTTATCCCCCAGTGCGTCCTTCCCCGGTGCGTACCTTCTCTTGGTTCCCTGGTATATACCTCTGCCTAGTACGTGTGTCCACCGCTGTTTATATCCCTATATTATATATGCTCTGCATGTGCTCCTATATTATATACACTTATTAGTCTAAATAACAATTATAAATATATTACTGTTCTTGCTACACTGTATACTAACTAGTTATACCACAAACCCCGTGGATCCCTCCAATTCTTTGCAGATCTGCCATAGCCAGCAAAATAATGCGAATAACTGGCTGTGCTGGCCTTTGGCTCCCTCCGTGGCCTGCCCAAAAACTGCAACACTTGCATGGTGTTGTTTGCGTCCACCCCGTGCTGCTGCAACCGGCGCTGCCATAGTGGCTGGATCTGCTCCTCCCACGGGCCGTACAGTATTACAGCTGTCATGGGGACCAATATATCCTTATATACACACTCGGTTTGTGTTGGATGGCCATCTAGTACCTCCCATCGTCGACAGATCGTCTGCGGCATATAACAGCGGTAACAAGCGGTATATCTAGCGAATGGAATCTTATACTGGCGAACTAGATTAACCCATGCCTTGGCTTTGTCGCTTTTGGGCCCACGACAAAAGTATAACTCGTGTTCGTTCCGTTCCCGTCCTGCAATGGTGCAAATATAGCACTTTTTCTGCCATGGTGCTATCTCGTTTTCAATAGTTTCCTCGTCCAACCACTGCCGTGCATCTTGCACCTGGTGTTGAATACGGGGCGCTGCATGGCGCTGGTCTTGCACCCGTTGGCGCTGGCGTTCGGCGATACTAACCGTGGGCGTGGGATTGGGGGCGATATTTTGCGTGCTCTGTGGTATAACATGCGATATTACTTGAGTTTCAAATGATTCTGTATTGTCATGGGATTGGGACCGGCGTGTGGGATTTGGCGCGATATTCTGCGTGCTCTGTGGTATAATATGCGATAATGGAAATAATTCGCCACTACCATGGGAATGGGGACTGCCCGTAGCGCTAATCTCGCGTGGTGGGCTTGTCGTGCTGGCGAGATCGTCCATGCGGGTGTCCGGGGAATATCTGTCCGGGGACATGCAAACCGACTCCTGCGCGAGCCAATCGGCGTCACAGCCGTCACAGAGTGCCTCGGTGGAATCAATATCCTGACAGTATCGGCGCGTATAGCCATTCACTGTTTCGTCCATGTACGCGTCCAATACAAACCGTCGACATCCCACCCCGGGCGCCACCCCGAGGTACTCGTCCACCAACTCGCGATCCGCCACGGCCTCTGGCGTCTCCGGCGTGGGCTCGTCCCAGCCCTCGGGCTGGATAATAATCGCCTCGCTGCGCTGGCTATCCCGTCCGGCTCGCCCACTTTCCTGCCCGTACTCCAACAACGACCGCGGTGTTCCAATATGGATAATACTGCGAATATCGGGGATATCCACACCCATGCCCAATGCACTGGTGGCGGTAATTACTCGCGCCTCGCCCCGGGTAAATCGCTGTAATATAGATGGCTTGTCAACCTGCTTGCTGTAGTACGCCTCGCACGCTAACTCGCGTGCAATCTCCACTACCTGACGGACCACATGGCCGTATACCACCACCTTGCCATCCTTGGCGCGCTGGATTCGCTCGCGGATAAACGCGAGCACCGGCTCGCTGGTAAACCACTGCATGGAACGCCGACCCAGCTCGGGCCGCCACACGCGATACGCCACGTTGGGACGGCTTGTCCGGTCCCGAAATATATGGACTTGCTCGCGGGAATACTCCATGCGCCGGAATAACTTCGCCTCCAACCGCGGCGGCAACGTGGCAGTTAATAACACCATCTGGGTTCGCGCGTGGTTCAACCGCCCCAGCTGTCGCAACTCGGGTCGGAAATCCGTTTGGTCGTTTAATATCACATGGCATTCGTCGATCACGATCCGGTCTAACCGGCGTGTTTGCTGCAACCGGTTAATAAACGTTTGAAAATCCTCCTGCACCGCGGATTCCGGTGTGACCAGTACAATTGTCGCTTCGTCCGGTGGCCGTCGACTATCCCATTCAATGCAGGATATACCCAACTCGCGACAGCGCCGCACCATATCGTTCCGCAATGATATTAATGGCACGACCACAATGGTAGTACCACTGGGCTCGGCGAATGCAGGTAACATAAACAACATGCTTTTTCCCCTCCGGTGCGCATAATGGCGACCACCGGGCTCTTGCCGTCCTGAATGGCGCGCAACGCCGGTGCTTGGACGCCCGGAACTGGATATCCTCTTGCCCGGTCATGTGCTGCAACGTGGTGCGCATATCTGCGATATTTAACCGGTGACGTCGGACCACTCGGCCCTCCTCGGCTTCGTCCTCCCATGGTGATCTCTTGCGCTTCCCCAACGGGCTGGGCTCCGCGGCGGATGCAAACCCCAAAACCGGTGCCAATCGGTGCTGGAGAGTCGAAACATTGCACGGCGATGTGCCGTGGTCCCGGGCTGCTCCATAATACCACGGCCGTACACTCCACCCGCCAATTGGGATGAATGCGCCGCCTGCAAGTCTGCAATATGGCCTAACCACTGCTCCTCGTCCATACCCTCCTCGGTGTCGGCGTTTAACACAGCCTGCGCCAAGTCTCTCTCCTCCTGCATGTTGCTGGCAAACGCGGCAGTGGGTCGCAAAATCGTCGGCTAATCCCAATGGCGATATCCCGATACCACTGGATATTAATGGCTTCTTTTAACCGGGTCTTGGTTTCGCGCTTTAACACCTCCCGGAACCGCTCGGACGTCCATTTGCGCCGGGTTCCGGGGTCGGGGCCCCATAAAAACGCATCTTCGCGGATCTGCGCTGCGTGCGTGCCCTGCGCTGTGGTGCCCTGCGCTGCGTGCGTGCCCTGCGCTGTGGTGCCCTGCGCTGCGTGCGTGCCCTGCGCTGCGTGCGTGCCCTGCGATGTGTACGTGCCCTGCGTTGCGTGCGTGCCCTGCGTTGCGTCCATGCCCTGTGCCGTGGTGCCCTGCGCTGCGTACGTGCCCTGCGATGTGTACGTGCCCTGCGTTGCGTGAGCGCCCTGCACCGTGGTGCCCTGCGCTGTGGTGGTGCTTTGCGCTGTGGTGGTGTTTTTTGCGCTGTGGTGGTGCCCTGTACTGCGCGTATTCCCTGCGTGCCCTGCGTTGCGTTCGTGCCCTGCGCTGTGGTGGTGCCCTGCACTGCGTGCGTTCCCTGCGTTGCGTGCATGCCCTGCGCCGTGGTGCCCTGCGTCTGCTTCGCATGCCATGCGCTTAGTTGCTGCACAAATGGTAATACCAACCATAAATACCACACAATTAATTCACCCACCTCCCGTGGCACAAATCGATGAATGATCTTTATATCGTTACTCGCGTAAAACCCCTTGTGGTACGCCGTCACCAACGCCACCATCCCGTCCTCGATATAGATATTGCGCTGTCGATTCGCCACGGTATTCACATGTTGAATACTTAATAACTCGGGTGCGCGAGCCGGCTGGCCGGATACCACGTGAACAAGCACTGCTAATTTCTCCTTAAATCGCGCCACGCGCTCCAGATACTGCGCCACCTTCGGCATGTGCAGCCGTCGGGCTTGGCGCCGGACGGTAAACTCCTTCTGCACGGCCGGCTCGGCCCGCAACCGGCCGATCATCCACTTGGGCCCCACCGGCCATTGCGTGCGCTGATCCCGCAAAAATTCCATCCCACCGTGGCCTGCGTGGGGTCGTCGTAGATCGCGTGCCATGGAATACTGGGAATGTCTTCCCGCGCTGTCACGCACAGTATGTCGCACAATATCTGGCGTGTGGCCCCGACCAATCCATGGACAAATCCGCGGAAATCGCCCATGGTAAATGTGATATGCTTGTATCCGAGCTCGTCGCCATGGTTCCATGTAATGTGCCCGGGCGCCGTGGTATTATAATGGATCTTTAACCCGTACGTGCGCCAATCCTGCAACGTTTGTATTGGACTGTGGGTGCCACGCACCATAAACCGCTGCACCATCCACTCCACGTGCTCCTGGAATGTTTTCCCGCGATTCTGCCGGCGGATATTCACTATCGGTTGGGGATTACTGCTGGTAATGGGCGATGTGGGGGCGATGATGGGATGCCTTGCTCTGGTTGACTGTAATATCCCTCGTCCGAATAAATATCCTCCAGCTCGTCGTCGGCGCTGGCGAGCACCCACTGCGCGCAGTTACTCTTCTTCTGCCACACCGCGATAATCTCCTCGGGATTCGGATCCAACCAAAGCGCTTTCTGGACAATTATAAAGCGCGCCACCTTGATCACACGCGATAAGATCGGGGATAACTCTCCGGGCCCTGCCATCTGTCCCGGCCCCATCCCAACACGGCCATGGCACATACAAGCACGCTCTCGTACTCATGGCTACGCTGCTTTTGGTTTAGCAACTCGATGCAAAACTCCAAACACGCGCCTTCGATCGGGGTCATGCGCCACGCTGCGTCGTCGTCCTGCGGCTCGCCGGGAATATCCCGGTGGGTAGTGGCGAGGTGCCATAACTGCCGCCATTTCTTGCGCTGCCGTGCTGTCATCCCGTACGGGGACTCGTCCATCCGTGTGGCGCCTGGGTGCGCGCGATAAACGCTAGGATTTGCTGCCATGGCTGCATATGCTTAACCACGCTCTCGGTATCCATATACGCCTGCAACGGTCGATATGGTGTTTGACCCTTTCAGATCGGATGGCTTCAATGCAGATTGCCTGGCCGCTGTGCTGGACCACGCGCTGGCTCTTGCGCACGACCTGCTCCATGGCGGCCCAAATGTGGCGCACGCCCTGCTCCACGGGATCTGTGGGCTCTTCCTCGGGCGGCGCCACGCTGTCGGTTAGATCCTTTGGTGCGATTCCTTCTAAATACTCGGACCACCGGGTCATGCGCAGCCATGGGTTGGCGTCGGTAATATCAGATGCCTGAATTGTACTCGGCGTGGACTGCGCCTCCTTCCACGCGTTCTCTAGCTCCTGGACAGCAACCTGGATATCATCTGTGGGGATCGCCGGTTCGTCGTTCTCATTTGGATTGCGGATGTGAATATAATGCGATCCTTTGCGCGATGGGAATATCTGCTGGCATGTCACAGATATAAAGGATCGCTGCAGCTCAGCATCTGCACGCACGCGCTCGTCACGGCTTACTCGACCACCATGCGGATACTGGGACCATCCATGGGTGGTGCGCCAGTGCTTTCGCATATTCTCAATTGTTCTTCCTATGTACTGACAGCCCGGGAATCCCGCCGACATAATAAACCATCAGGTTGTACGGGTATTCCAACCAACGCCTGGTCCAACTGATGGGGAAAATTAACCTGATCGGGGAATGCGCAATATCCTCCCATTGCATTACCTTCTCGCTAATCTGGACAGCATCGGCGTGTGGGATTTGATGGGCGCGATTTTTTAAATGGCGGAGAACCTCGGGGGCCACACACCATGCTGGCATTGCTTGCAAATAATAACAGGTAACATATCAAGCTTCTCGAATATCTGGTGCTCCATGGCCGAAATTAAATTGTTTATTTAAACGCGATCGTATAACTGCAGTTGGGTGTGTTTACCTCTTTCCTAAATAATCCTGCAACCTGGCAAGTTTGGTGGTTATGTAATAACGGCTCGGTCGGCTGTGATACCCCAACAAAATAATTAAGTCGAATAATAAACATCGACCACCACCACAGTATTATATAACGGAATTTCAAGCTCCCATTTTGCCAAGTTACTTTTATAGGTGTCCTGCATCTACTATAAAAATTTAAGCTATGGTGGATTATGGGTTGTCGAGCTACCCTACGTTTATAATTTGGAACGACTATATGTTAACGAGAATTCTGCTAGCCAATCAGCGCACGATCCTCGCCCCACTGTTATCCGACCCTAACCAGACTCTACCAACATCCGCCCCAGGCCTGTGGAATAGATCCTTTGGTGCGATTCCTTCTAAATACTCGGACCACCGGGTCATGCGCAGCCATGGGTTGGCGTCGGTAATATCAGATGCCTGAATTGTACTCGGCGTGGACTGCGCCTCCTTCCACGCGTTCTCTAGCTCCTGGACAGCAACCTGGATATCATCTGTGGGGATCGCCGGTTCGTCGTTCTCATTTGGATTGCGGATGTGAATATAATGCGATCCTTTGCGCGATGGGAATATCTGCTGGCATGTCACAGATATAAAGGATCGCTGCAGCTCAGCATCTGCACGCACGCGCTCGTCACGGCTTACTCGACCACCATGCGGATACTGGGACCATCCATGGGTGGTGCGCCAGTGCTTTCGCATATTCTCAATTGTTCTTCCTATGTACTGACAGCCCGGGGAATCCCGCCGACATAATAAACCATCAGGTTGTACGGGTATTCCAACCAACGCCTGGTCCAACTGATGGGGAAAATTAACCTGATCGGGGAATGCGCAATATCCTCCCATTGCATTACCTTCTCGCTAATCTGGACAGCATCGGCGTGTGGGATTTGATGGGCGCGATTTTTTAAATGGCGGAGAACCTCGGGGGCCACACACCATGCTGGCATTGCTTGCAAATAATAACAGGTAACATATCAAGCTTCTCGAATATCTGGTGCTCCATGGCCGAAATTAAATTGTTTATTTAAACGCGATCGTATAACTGCAGTTGGGTGTGTTTACCTCTTTCCTAAATAATCCTGCAACCTGGCAAGTTTGGTGGTTATGTAATAACGGCTCGGTCGGCTGTGATACCCCAACAAAATAATTAAGTCGAATAATAAACATCGACCACCACCACAGTATTATATAACGGAATTTCAAGCTCCCATTTTGCCAAGTTACTTTTTATAGGTGTCCTGCATCTACTATAAAAATTTAAGCTATGGTGGATTATGGGTTGTCGAGCTACCCTACGTTTATAATTTGGAACGACTATATGTTAACGAGAATTCTGCTAGCCAATCAGCGCACGATCCTCGCCCCACTGTTATCCGACCCTAACCAGACTCTACCAACATCCGCCCCAGGCCTGTGGAATAGGGGGCTGGGATTGGAATGATGCCGGGCTGGCATTAGAACTAGACGGATAATCAATCTTTATGGATGGGGGAATAGGTGGGGGAATCACTGCCTCCACCGGGACTCGACCGGATATAATTGGGGTGCGATAACGGTGGTGATTCGATTATTACTAGATCTACCATGGAACCCTCTGCCTTAACAATGGATACCGAATGCCAATCAGGATGGCATCCATCACATGGAACCTCCTCGGGATTCTGATCCTGGCAATATTGCCGCTGATATCTATCCACGGTGCTGTCTAAATATTAATCCAATACATACTATCTGCATCCCACGCCGGGTATTACATCCATATATTCCGCCACCAATGCGGTATCGTCGGGGATGTATCCAGGCCGGGATGCTGGGAGCCCTCCGGCTGGATAATAATGGCCTCACTGGCCTCTCCGTCCCGTCCGGCACAACCACTTTCCTGCGTGTAATCCAACAATGACCGGGGCATGCCAACGTGGATAATACACTAGATATTGGGGATATCAACTCCCATTCCCAATGCACTGGTGGCGGCAATCACCCGGGTCTGGCCCTGTGTGAACCGCTGTAATATCGACGGTTTATCAATCTGCCGGCTGTAATATGCCTCGCACTGCAATTCCTGTGCAATGTCCACAACCTGGCGGACCACGTTGGCGTAAATAATAACCTTCCCCGTGGACACCCGCTGGATTCGCTCCCGGATAAATACCACGACCGGTGCGCTGGTCAACTATATGGGACTAGCTTTGATGGGGGACACTATATACGATACGCCACATTCGGACGGCTGGTACGGGCCCGAAATATGCTGATCTGGTCGGGACGATACTCTATCCGCTGCAACAATGTTGTTTCCAATGTGGGGGGCAACGTGGCCGTCAGCAATACTATCTGCGTGCGTGCATGGTTCAACCGTCTTAACTATTGCAACTCGGGTCGAAAATCCCGCTGGTTATTTAATACGACATGGCATTTGTCAATCACGATCCGATCTAACCGCCGGGTCTGCTGTAATCGGTTAATAAACATGTGGAAATCGTCTGTCACCGCCGATTCCGGCGTCACCAATACGATCGTGGCTTCGTCGGGTGGTTAACGGCTCTCCCACGCCACGCATAATATACCTAATACCTGGCACTGTCGGATTATATCACTCCGCAATGCCAGCAATGGCACCACGACAATGGTCGTTCCGCTGGGCTCGGCAAATGCTAGTAATATAAACAACATGCTCTTGCCTCCCCGTGGGCATCACCGCCACCACCGGGCTCTCTCCGTCTTGGATGGCCCGTAACGCGGGGGCCTGGACCCCCGGAATTAAATGGTCTCCTGCCCGTTATCTGCTGCAGCACGGTTTCCATATTAATGGTGTTCAACCGGTGGCGCCGGATAACACAGCTCTCCTCGGCCTCGTCCTCCCACGGCGCCCGTTTGCGTTTGCCCGTGTCTCCGGGAGCCTCGGCCGATGCAAATCCTAAAACCGATGCCAATCCATGCTAGACAACCGAAACATGGCCCGGCGGCGGGCGGTGGTCCCAGGGTGCTCCATGATATCCCGGGCGTATATCATGCCCGCCGTGTGGGGGAATGCGTGGCCTGCTCGTCCACGATAGCCTCCATCCACTGGTCCTCGTCCATGTCGATCTCGGGGGATCTCGGGGCCTTCTCCTCCTGTGCGTTGCTGGGGAATGCGCTGCTTGGCCACATCTACCACCAGCTAATCCCGATAGCAATCTCGCGATATGCCTGGATGTTGACTGCGTAATGCAACCGCATCTTGGTCTCACGCTTTAACACCTCACGGAACCGTTCGGACGTCCATGCCCGCTGCGTGCCGGGATCGGGGCCCCAAATGGACGGCGACGTGGATGCTGGTGGGGCCCGGACGGTGCTGTGGATGCCGGTGGGGGCCCGGACGGTGCTGTGGATACCGGTGGGGAACGGACGGCGCTGTGGATGCCGGTGGGGGAATGGACGGTGCTGTGGATACCGGTGGGGAATGGACGATTCGTCGAGCCGGCGCTGATACCACACCTCCAATTGCTGGGCAAATGGCAATACCAACCACAAATACCATATAATTAACTCGCCCACTTCCCGCGGGATATATCGACTGACGACCTTGACATCGTTGCTGGCATAAAATCCCTTGTGATATGCCGACACCAATGTTACCATGCCGTCCTTGATAAATACATTGCGCCGCTGGTTGGTCTCGGTGTTGACATGCTGCAAGCTCAACAGCTCCGGGGCCCGGCCGGGCTGCCCGCCGACCACATGCACTAACACGGCCAATTTCTCCTTAAATCGCGCCACACGCTGCAAATACTGCATCACCAATCATGGCTGGAACTGCGTGGGCTGGCGGCGGTGAATAAACTGCACCTGCATGTCCGGCTCGGTCCGGATCCGCTCCATAATCCACTGGGGCCGTCGACCGGCCATGATGTTCGCTGATCGCGCAAAAGCTCCATCCCACGGCGCTTTGGGTGGGATCGTCGTACAACGCGTGCCATGGGATGACGGGCGTCTGGCCAAATATCAGCTCGTCGCATAAAATCCGGCGCGTGGCTGTGGTCAATCCGTGCACAAACCCCGGAAATCGCCCATGGTGAACTGCAGGTGCTTATACAGCAACCGATCTGGCTGCATCCATGTGACATGCCCCGGGGCCGTGGTGTTGTAATAGATCTTTAACCCGTATGTGCGCCAGTCCTGCAATGTCTCCATTGGGATATGCGTGCCCCGGACCATGAGCTGGCTAACCATCCATGTTACCTGCTCCTGAAACGTTTTCCGGGATGGATCACGCTGGCTGATATTAATCCGGGATTGGGGGTCCCCACTGCGCATGGGCGATGTTGGCGGGGACGATGGGGGCCCCTCCACCTCGCTGCCGTATACGGAATTGGTCTCAATATTATCCACGGCTGCGGCACTGCGTAATGTCCACTCGGCACAGTTCTGCGGTTTCTGCCATGTCTCGATAATCTGCATCACATCGGGATCCAACCACAATGCCTTCTGGACAATCATGAACCGGGCGATCTTGATCACCCGCGACAAAATCGGCGGATAACTCTCGGCATCCTGCCATCCAAACTCCCCACGGCCTAATACCGCCATCGCGCATATCAACACACTCTCGTACTCCTGCGCATGGTATGTCTGGTTCATTAGCTTAATACAACACTCCAAACACGCCCGTTCGATGTCACTCATCATCCACTGTGCACGCTCCGGATCCCTCTCGTCTGTGGAATCCGCCTCGTCGATGGAATTGGGACTGCTGATCTGGCTGGCCATCTGCCATAGCTGCCGCCATTTTTTCCGCTGCCGTGGGGTCATTCCGTACGGTGGACGCTTTTCTGGGTGTGGGGCCTGCGTGCGTGCGATGAACGCTAATATCTGCTGCCATGGCTGTACATGCTTGGCCACGCTGTCTGCATCCATATACACCTGCAACGGGCGATATGGGGTCTGCCCTTTCTCGGATCGCACCGCTTCGATCCGGATCGCTTGACCGGTATGTTGCACCGTCCACTGGCTCTTGCGTACCACTCCCTCCATGGCTTTCCATATCCGCTGCACGCCCTGCTCCACGGGACCATCGGCGTCTGGCAACGGGGGCGACCATGGCATACAATGCGTCGTAATCGCTGGGCGTGGTAAACTCCTGTAAATACTGGGTCCACCCCGTCATCCGCAACCACGGGTTGGCGTCGTGGATCTCTCCAGCCCCGGTCGCACCGGTCTGGATCTTCATCACCTCCCAATGCCTCGGTGATCTGCTGGATCGCCTGGTCGACCTGCTCTGTGTGGACGGGAATCGACGGTTCCTCCTCGCTCCCACGGACATAGATGTAATGGGATCCTTTCCGCGATGGGAATATCTGCTGGCATGTCACGATTATATATAATTATCGCAGCTTTGCTTTCTGTGCTTGTTGCTCCTCGCGCGTGGTTCGGCCCCGTCGGGTATGCTGCGACTATCCATAGACCGTCCGCCAGTAATTGCACATGCTATTCAAGCTCCGTCCAATGTACTAACAGCCGGGGTAATCTCGGCGACATAACAACCCATCCGGGTATGTGGGCAACTAGGATGGTATTTATTACATGGAACCTCCTCGGGATTCTTATCCTGGTAATATTACCACTGACACCTATCTACACTGCTATCTAAATATCTATTTAATACATGCTGTCTACACCCCACGCCGGGCATTATATCTGTATATTCCGCCACCAATGCGGTATTATCAGGGGGGATGTATCCGGGCCGGCATGCCGGGAACTTGCTGGCCGGATAATAATAGGGTCACTCGCCTGTCTATCCTGTCCGGCACGACTACTTTCCTGCGCGTAATCCAACAATGACCGTGGCGTGCCAATGTGGATAATACAATAAATATCGGGGATATTAACCACCATGCCTAATACACTGGTATGGCGATCACCCAGGTCTGGCACTGCGTAAATTGCTGCAAGATTAATGGCTTATTAATCTGCTGGCTGTGGAACGCCTCGCATCTAATTATCTGTGCTATCTCCACAACCTGGTGGACTACATTGGCGTAAATAATCACCTTCCCCGGCTGGGCCTGCTGGATCCATTCCCAGATAAATACCGTTACTGGTTCCGCGGTAAACTACTCCGGACAGGACCCTAAACGGCTGCCATACCCGGTATGCCACGCTCGGACGGCTAGTCCGGTCCCGGAATATATATACCTGGTCCCGGGAACACTTTATGCGCTGGAACAACATTGGTTCCAACTAGGGGGGTAATATAGCTGTTAACAACACTATCTATATTCGCGCGTGGTGCAACCGCTCTAGCTACTATAACTGTAGCTGAAAATCGCGCTGCTCGTTCAACACTATGTAGCATTTGTTCACAATAATCTAGTCCCCTGGTGCGTCTGCTGCAATTGGTTAATAAATATGTGGAAGTTGTCTGTCACAGTGGATTCCAGTGTCACGAACACAATTGTGGCCGTGTTGGGTGTTTAACAGCTCTCCTATACCACATGCAAGATAAGCACTGTTACTAGTTTAGCAGCATGGGCTTTTTTTATATATAGTCTTTGTAAACTATATCCTTTTTTTTATATGTGTTCCCTCCCGTGCATGTAATTTTTATATAATATGTACTTATTATATTGCGTGCTGTTTTTTTTATATATATATAATTTTAATATAGCATCTACTTAATGTATTGTATGTACTCCCTGTAGTATATATACTTAGCCAGTCCATGTGCTTTTTACCTAATATCTGCTTTTTTTAATACATGTGCACCTATTCTTGCGTTTTATTTATATATTATATAAGCTTAATTATTCCATGCATTTCCCCTAAAACATGCAATCTTCCTATTATATATACTTTATTATACCTTCTGTTTAGTCAGTAATTAGTTTTATACTTATATATTAGATTACCAAGTAAACTATAATATCTGCGTCTTGCTATTAATAACCAAGATATATATATTAACTGGTAATACTCTAAACTTTATATATCCTCTCCAACTCCTTGCATATCTGCCACAACCAGCAAAACAATACAAATAACTGGCTGTGTTAGCCTTTAGCTCCCTCTGTGGGCTGTCCTAAAAGCTGCACCACCTGCGTGAGATTGTCGGCCTCCACCCTGTGCTCGTGTAACCGTCTCTGCCACAATGGCTACACCTGCGCCTCCCATGGGCTGTACAACATTATCGCTATTATCAGGACCATATATCTTTGTATACACACTCGATCTGTGTGCCGCGGCGGTCAACCTCCCAGCGCTAATATATAGTCTGGGGCATCCCACATCGGAAACATGCGCTGTATCGCGTGAATCGGATTTTTCCCGCCGAACCGCTTTTATCCATGCCTTGGCTTGGTTACTCTTGGGTCCATGGCAAAAAGTAACTCGTGCTCGGTTTACTCCTATCCGGTAATAATGCAAATGTAGCACCGCCTCTGCTATCCTGCCACCTCTTGTTTAATTATCTCCTCGTCCAACCACTGCTTCGCATCCTGTGCTTGTTGTTAAACATGTAGGGCAGCCTGGCGTTAACTCTAGACCTGCTGGCGCTGGTGTTTGGTAATATAAACCGTACAATCCTCTACACACTGGGTCTGCTGGTGGATAGTGGTGGCTTGGTAGCCATTATGGGCCGTCGTGCGTGCAACGGGAGTCGGAATGTGCAATGGCAGTGGTTGCTTGCTGGATCAGGATATATTCTCCTCGGGCATGGGCTCGCGTGCGCGACATGCATGGTTGGACTTTGCGTGGGTGGATATCTGCGATTGGAATAATTCGTGACTGCGTTGGGATTGGGGACGGGACGTGGTTTCCTTCTCGAGTTGTTGGCTTGCCACCGTGGTGTTTTAATGTGGATAATACTGCGAATGTCGGGGATGTCCACGCCATGCCCAACATACTGGTCGCCGTAAGAACCTGCGTCTCGCCCTGTGTAAATCGCCGTAATATGCCGGGCTTGTCCACCTGTTGTTTGTGGTATGCTTTACATTCCAACGCCTGCGCCACCTTAATCACATGGCGCACCACGTGGCCATAGACCACCACCTTTCCACCAGGGGCCCGCCGAATACGCTCGCGGATAAACGTAATAACGGGGTCACTATGGAACCACTGCGCGCTGCGTCCCACGTCGGGTCGCCACACGCGATATGCCACGTTGGGACGGCTTGTCCGGTTACGGAACATGTGCACCTCTGCCTGGGTATACCCCATCCGCCGGAATAACTGCGCCTCCAGCTGCGGTGGTAATGTGGCTGTCAACAACACTATCTGCGTGCGTGAGTGGTTTAACCGTCCCAACTAGCGCAGATCGGGCCGAAAGTCTTTCTGATTGTTTAATATCACATGGCATTTGTCGATGACGATCCGGTCCACCCGTCGTGTTTGCTGCAACCGGTTGAGAAAAGTTTGGAAATCCTCCTGCACCGCGGGCTCGGGCGTGACCAACACAATGGTGGCTTTGTCGGGGGTCGTCGACGGTCCCATTCGATACTCGAGATACCTAGCTCACGGTATCGCCGTGTCATATCGGCACGCAACGAAATCAATGGTATGACAACGTGCTTTTTACCCCCACCGGTGTGTATCACCGCCACTACAGGACTCTCTCCATCTTGGATAGCGCGCAACGCCGGCTCCTGCACGCCTTGAAATTGGATCCCCTCCTGTCTGGTTGTCCGCTCCAGAACGGCACGCATGTCGACCGTATTTAACCGATGTCAGCGAAGAACGCGATTTTCGTCCGCCTCCTCCTCCCACGGCGAATGTTTGCGCTTTCCCAGCGCGCTGGGCGCTTCCGCGGCGGATGGAAACGCTATAAATCGGTGCCAATCCATGCTGGAGAGCTAGAACATTTCGCGTCGATGGGTGGTGATGCCTGGCTGCTCTATAATCCCCGGGCGTACACGGCGCCCGCCAAACGTGACGGATGGCTGGCCTGCATGTTAGTAGTAATATGGCCAAGGAACTGCTCCTCGTCCATACCCTCCTCGGCGTCGGCATCCAAGACGGCCTGTGTAATCTTGGCCTTGTCCTGGACATTGCTAATAAACGCACTGGCCGGCTGCATGAATTGTCGGCTGATGGTAATAGCAATCTGCCGGTACGACTGGATATTAATAGCATGCTTAAGACATGTTTTTGTTTGCCGCTTTAACACCTCTTGGAATCGCTCCGATGACCATGTGCGACGTGTGCTGGGGTCGGGCCCCTATAAATAAGTGTCTTCACGGGCTTGTATTTTGCACAGCGCTGCCTGCGTCGGTGGTGGTTGCGTCCGCGCTCTGTGCATGGCCGGCGTGTCTGCCGTGGTCTGTGACAGCGATGTGGCGGATATCTCTGCTGCTTGCCATGCACTTAACTGCTGGACAAATGGCCACACCAACCACAAATACCATATAATTAACTCCCCGACCTCGCGGGGAACATATCAACGGACGATTTTAATATCATTGCTGGTGTAAAATCCCTTGTAATACGCAGTTACCAGCGCCACCATCCCATCCTCGATGAAAATATTGCGCTGTTGATTGGTCGCTGTATTTACCTGCTGGATACTTAACAACTTGGGTGCGCGTGCTAGCTGTCCGGACACTACATGCACCAACACGGCTAATTTCTCCTTGAATCGAGCCACCTGCTGCACTACTGCGCCACCTTGGGCATATATAGCCGCCGTGGCTAACAGTGTATAGTAAATCGCCCCTGCACAGCCGGCTCGGCCTGTAACCGATCGTTGATCCACATGGGCCCCACTGGCCACTGTGTGCGTGGATCCTGCAAGAAATTCTACCCCACTTTGGACTGGGTGGGATCGTCGTACATGGCGTGCCACGGAATCTGGGGATGGACTCGCAATCGCTCACGCACAACGTGTCGCACAGTATCCGGCGGGTGGCCCCGACTAATCCGTGGATAAAGCCGCGGAAATCGCCCATGGTGAATGTGATGTGCTTGTATCCAAGCTTGTTACTATGATTCCATGTAATGTGACCGGGTGCCGTGGTATTGTGATGGATCTTTAACCTATATATACGCCAGTCCAGCAGTGTCTTTATGGGGCTGTGTGTTCCACACACTATAAACCACTGCACCATCCACTCGACGTGCTCCTGGAATGTTTTCCGGGACCGTTGCTGGCTGAGATTCGCCATTAGCTAGGGATCACTGCTCGCGATCGACGACGTGGGGGCGATGACGGGAGATTCCCTATAATATTGTTGCCGTCCTGGCTGTAATATCCCTTGTTGTAAATATCCTCCAATCCATTGTCTGCGCTAGCCAGCACCTATTCTGTACCACTACTCTTCTTCTCCCAGATGTCGATAATCTCCTGGGGGTCGGATCCAGCCACAGTGCTTTTTGCATGATCAGAGACTGCGCCACCGTGATCACACGCGATATGATGGGTGGATAGCTCTCAGCATCGTGCCACTGGTCGCGACCCTATCCTTACACAGCCATGGCGCACACCAACACGCTCTCGTACTCGTGGCTGCGCTGTGTCTGATTTAACAGCTTAATACAAAACTCCAAACACGCACTTTCAATGGGGCTTATTTTCCACAGGATAGTTGTCTTGCTCGGCTGGTGCGCGGTTCGTGGCAGCGTGCCACAGCTGGCGCCGTTTCTTGCGCTGACGAGGTGTTATTCCGGATGGCGGACTTATCCACTCATGTAGCGCCTGCATGCGCGCGATAAACGCTAATATCTGCTGCTATGGCTGCACATGCTTTACCACGCTCTCGGTATCTATATCTGCCTGCAACGGGCGGTGCGGGGTTTGTCCCTTTTCTAACTGTATTACTTTGATGCGAATCACCTGGCTACTATACTAAACTATCCGCCGGCTCTTACACGCTACCTGCTTTATCACCATCTAAATGCTGCGCACGCCCCTGCTCCACCGGATGAATAGGCTCCTCCTCGGGTGTGGCCACGCTGTCTATTATATTCTATTTGCTAAATACTCCGACCATCGGGTCATGCGCAACCATAGATTGGCGTCGGCAATGTCCCATGCCTCGACGGTTTGCTCGGCTACCTGCGCCTGTGTATGCTTCCATATGTTTTCTAGCTCCTAGATAGCATGCTGGATATCATCCATCACCACGGGTGCCTCTGTCTCGGTCACCTTGGACTGGACGTGGATGTAATGGGAAGGCCTGTGGAATACAGGGCAACACACTTTGATTGCAAATAAATAGAGAGAGATTATTGACCATTGGGAAATCGAATCTGGATATAATGGGATCCCCTCCGTGATGGAAACAGTTGTTGATAGGATACACGCTGAAGCAACTGCTGTAGCTCAATTTCTCGCGAAGCCCGCTGAGATTGGGAAACTCGTCCACCATGTGGATAGAGGGACCATTGGTGCGCCGTTCTCCAATGGTTGCGCATGGTGTTCATGGTTGATCCAATATACTGACACTGGTCGGGGAGCCCGTTGACAGAGTAAGCCGTTTGAGTGACATGGTAAAATAGGAATCGGCTTATCCAAAATATAAGGAACCTGGATTGCTGAGCCATCCTGTTCGATATCTGGCAACTGGCGGATAGCCTGAATAATTGGGGTTACTGTCCGATGGGATAGATAATGCTGCTTTTTAGATGGTACTTTACTTTATCGGGTCGCACAGCATACTGACATCGACGGCAAACTATGACTTTCAGCTGGGGAATGGGCTCAAAGCCAATAAATCTATATTCTTGCTTGTTGGATCCCACACTGTTATTAGAGTTAACCTCTGCCAGATGACGAGGGGTCGTGGTTTCCTGGACATGGTGAGTGGTCACCGGAGAAAGAATAAACCGGTGCCACTGGGCCGACGCGCGCTGGAATGCTTCTTGGCGACTGGGAAGGGAGACCTAATGGATACGTGTCCTCAACCGCGTAGATCTAATTATTGATATGGGAATGATGACCGGCCTGGGCGGCAAGGATATTATGGAGGACTGTCTCGGCGGACTGCAGGTTAGATCCAGTTATCTGGGGGCGGAGATGTTTCTTGGCAATGGCGATAGACAGATGGCGATAACTTAGGGTGGTTAGATAGGCACTGTTAAAAAACGGCTGAGTCGACTGGCGTAGAAGATGTGTCAACTTGCGGGGCGGCAGGGAAACCGGCAAGGAAGGAATAACAAAGAAGTAGTAATCATGCTTGGCCTCCCGACGGGCCCGGGACTCCGGGGGTACTAACTGTTAAACGCCACTAGCATGGGATAGACGTGGATTAGATACATTACAAGCAGCCGGCCCACCGCGGAGGGAAGAAATCGAGCAACGGGGTGGGTACGGACGGTCCGGCGGCGGGTCTTGTAATATTCGGTTATGATTATAACCTGGCCGTTGCTGAGAAAGATATTCCGCTGGGATGTCGCGGTATTCTGCCATTTAATAGTGAGTAGTTCCTTCTCACGACTGGTCTGGCCCCAGGTGACCTGAATTAGTAAAGCTAGTTTATATAGAAAGTCTTGAACTTTCTTCTTATACAATCGCATGGCCTGGATATCCCAGTGTGTCGAAACCTGCCGAAGCGGCTGCACACCAGACAGTGGATACTGGCAGAGCAGGAGGAGAGGGATGCACGTGGGCCGCGCATGGTGGGGGCCATGTCGAGAAAGGAGAAGCCACTCTGTCTCTCACTGGGCACGTCGACCAAGTCCGCCAGTGTAAAGTCCTCAACGTAGCCCAGCAGGAGTTCCCGGTTAAAGAAGTCTGTGGTCGTGTGGATCAGGTGCTGGATCTAGTAACGGAAGTTGGTTATAGTATAGCTAGTGGGGTTTTACCGGTAGTACACTGTCTCTTGGTCTGGAGACCAGGTGATCGAGGCTGGACGCACCTCGTGATACATCTGGTATATCCCATAGGCGGTCAGCCGTAAAATCTCCTCCAGTGGGTAAAAAGTATGCCGGACTCCAAAGGTGTAGTGCACCGCTGCGGCTTGTCGGACTCAGTTCCGATACTGGTCACGGACCGGCACGTTATTAATAAAGTGGTATGGCTTGGCGGGCAGTGCATACTCCAGCAGAAGCAGCCGTGAAATCCAGAGGATGGCAGCCAGGTCGCTGGTGTAGCTATATGGACCGGCCACAGTGAGATGGACAGGGTAAATTGCAAGCACGGCTGTTAGTACAACTAGACTGCTGTCAAATTTGTTGCCAGTCTGCTGGATAGCACGAGTGCTAATACTGCTTATACAGAGCGAAAAGACCATCTTATCCAGCCACCGCTGATATTCCGGTGGAAGCTGAGGCACGCCCCTCCGGCTCGTTTGATCCAGGTTGGCGCCGTTACCCATAGACGGGATTGGCGATTCTGTACTGGTCAGGAAGTCTTCTTCCTCCTCATCAGACTAATCACTCGATGTCAAATCGGTGTCGCTTATCTCGCCGGGGATGTGCCCCGGGCTCCCTAACCACGCTGCCTAGTTAGTAGGTCCCGGCAGCAAATGGAAATAGGTGGTAGGGGATAGAACTCTTATCTTACCAGGTTCTGAGGCGGTATCTATATCCATGTTATTGTCCATATAGCCTCTTTTAGTCGAATGCGATTCACTCTCTTCACTAGATATAGAGGGAGACCGAGATAAGTGGTTGCGTGGTTGTTTATTATCTGGGGATAATTCGACTCTATATTATAGGGTCCGTCTGTATAGCACATAAGTATTCACGTAGGAGCCTGGCAGGACCAAGTGGCAGTGGGTTCTCGCCCAGCAGTGAAAAGACCCGGGATAGTTATTACCTACCTGGTTTGAGAGGATTGAGCGTCTGGAGATAACAAGGGTGGAGTTATAGGGATACACACTGCAACTATTCTTTTAACATGTCGCGGTGAGGGGACCGGTAAGTTCTCACCAGTAGACACACTGCCGCCTACACGAGGATCGCGGAGTCGAGTGCCGGAGGCCTTCGTCGGAGTTAACAATCGAGCTTGGGAGGCTGTACGGCGATGGCCACGGCGCATTGGTGGTGGCAATGGTGTCGGGGTCACGCTCTCTCGCCGCGGCCGTTTGCGCACGGCGGCGGTACCCGCCCGGGAGTTGGCAGTGGTGGTAGATAATGTAGTCTAAGGTGTGGGAACAGGACTTGATATTGCAGCGAGTTCACCCAGGTTACTCCGATTATAGGCGCGCTTAACTGCCTGCTGCCGAGTATTAGTTTGCTCCATTCGTTGAAGGAAGTGGCCCGCTGCGAGGGTTTCTTCCGGATGAGCCAGGTATGCCTGGAGGGTGTCCCAGATCCGGGTAAGATGCTCCTGCTTATACTTGTCTAACCGGAGGCCGAGGATCTCCGTGCGCTCTTGGTCAGTCAGAGGGGCTCCGCGTACCATCCAGGCTAGATACCGCCGCCATACGCGGCGATAGCGTTGGAGCGTCTTTGGCTGCTGCCGGTCGAGTTCCACCGCACTCAAACCGGTCTGCGATGAGCTGCGGAATAGACGACGGATTGGCGGATGGGTGGACGCTAAGCTGTCCAGGGCTCGGTTAAGGACCCGGTTAAACGATGTAATAACCAGGTCTAAAATATTAACCGACATCTGCTGGATGCTCCCCTGCGGGCTTATCTAGGACTAACTCCTTATCGTCCCATAGCGCTCCTGGCCAGAAAGATTGCAGACCTGGATGGCTCTGCAGCCAGCCAGGGTCTGGCGCGGACGCTTCGGCCAACACCCGAAGATAACGGCCATCCAGGAATCGAAGCCAGTCGGTCTACAGTAGCCATGGTGTGACATCGTCCTCCATATGACGGGCCTGAAAAACAAAGAGCCGAGGATCCGGACGGGCCTCTTGCGCAGGGTGCTGTCGGTGGATCCCACGAGCCTCTAGGTGCTGAATTTCCCGGATCCATCGGGCCGTGTGGTTGCCAGTCAGGGGTGGGGTTTGCAATGGTGTGGTCGGTCGTTCTATTGGCTCCGCGTCTACGGGCTTCGGGGCCAGGGGTCGCAGCGGTCGGGCCGGTAGTTCGTTGGGTTTGATTCTCTGGTTGTCCTCTTCGCAGACGAACGTGAGCGTGGTTAGCAGTGGGCCGGACCAGGAGAAACGAGAGACGTACCTGTGACCGGATCAAGTTGGGATGGAGCGATCTCCGGCTCGCCTATTAGTATTGTGTTAGCAGCCGAGGAGGAGGGCGGATCTTCCGTGGTTTCCACTGGCATGCTGGCTGGTGTCAAGGGCTAAACCTCTATAACCTAATAACTAGGGTGGATACAAAAGGAATCGTCGAAGAGAAAAAGAGAAGAGGAAACAGCGATGAGACGATTGCGAAGTAGGGGGAAGTCACATGATAGAGTGTACTAATCAATATACTAATCATGTGGCAGGCGAGGAGAAAGGAAACACGAGGGCTGAGGGCCCGAGTAGGCTGAGGGGCTCTAGCCCCTTACACTACTCCCCCTTCCTATATAAGGCCTCCGAAGGAGGCCTAATAGCGAGGCGGGTTGCTGGCGCGGGCTGTAAGCTTTTTTCGGAGGTTTCTCGGAAGTATCAGACAAAGTAGAGCGGGCATCGCAGTCTGCGATCCAATGATCATTAGAACCGCAGTAAAGGCATAAATTATTCGCAAGTCGGAAACGGCGGCGGTCAGAGGTGGTGGATTCATGAGAAGAATCAGATAAAACAGGCGAAGCAGCTCGGGCTACTCTCACAGAGCCAACATGAACAGGATTGGGGTTTATTTTAACTGAGTTGACTCGGACCGGATCAGTATCCATTGGGTCTGTATTCGGGGTCAAAGCTGGTTTCGGGGCTGATTTTGGACTAGGACGGGTACGCCGATCGGTACTCTGGACAAGTTCAATATATTCATTATAGGGAAGATCAAAGAGAGAATTATTCGAGTCTTCTAGTATTCGACGGAGATTAGGCCGTAGCCCCGGTGTAGCGTGGTAACACGTGATATATCTGGCCATGAGTTTACATTGGCTTCATATGAAAGTCGTTCAAAACGAGCAAGGTAGGCGATAAGCGATTCGTCATCCCTCTGTTGTATAGAAGTAAAGCGCTGAATAGCCTCCTGCTGTTCCCGTGGGTTATGGCATAGACGCTGAAAAAAGAGAAAATAACTTCAGGATCCCATAGCTGGTTTTCTTCGGCAGATTGGCGGAGGTGCAGGACAGAAGCTTGCTGAGACTGTTCTAGTCGATCCCATACATAGTCAAAAGCATCAGCTCCTACGAGCTGGTCTGATCGAAGTTTTGCTTTAATTGACGGGAGCCATGTGCGAAGCGTGTATGGTTTACCGTTAAAGCGAGGCGGATCTGGCAGGCGGGATCTGGGTGTCTGGACGGAAAGAAGCTGCGTACGAAGCTGGTGGACATCTGTTCGGGAAGCATCAAGGTCCGCACGTAGTTGCTGTATTTCATTACGCTGGTTTTGAATATCAAGGCGCTGGTTTTGGAGCTCTTGCTGGAGCTGCTGCACAAGCAGGAGGAGTGGATTCGGGTCGGACATCGTAAAGATATTCCCATAGACTGGCGGACAGGCAGGCAAGCGGGCGGGCGAGCAGGCAGGCAGGCGAGCGGGCGGACAAGCGGGCAGGCGAGCGGGCAGACAGGCAGACAAGGACGATTCCTAATGTCAAGGGCTAAACCTCTATAACCTAATAACTAGGGTGGATACAAAAGGAATCGTCGAAGAGGAAAGAGAAGAGGAAACAGCGATGAGACGATTGCGAAGTAGGGGGGGAAGTCACATGATAGAGTGTACTAATCAATATACTAATCATGTGGCAGGCGAGGAGAAAGGAAACACGAGGGCTGAGGGCCCGAGTAGGCTGAGGGGCTCTAGCCCCTTACATACTGTTTTGTCTATGTACGCGTCTAATACAAACCGTCGACATCCCACCCCGGGCGCCACCCCAAGATACTCGTCCACTAACTCGCGATCCGCCACGGCCTCTGGCGTCTCCGGCATGGGCTCGTCCCAGCCCTCGGGCTGGATAATAATCGCCTCGCTGCGCTGGCTATCCCGTCCGGCTCGCCCACTTTCCTGCCCGTACTCCAACAACGACCGCGGTGTTCCAATGTGGATAATACTGCGAATGTCGGGGATATCCATACCCATGCCCAATACACTGGTAGCGGTAATTACTCGCGCCTCGCCCCGGGTAAATCGCTGTAATATAGATGGCTTGTCAACCTGCTTGCTGTAGTACGCCTCGCACGCTAACTCGCGTGCAATCTCCACTACCTGACGGACCACATGGCCGTATACCACCACCTTGCCATCCTTGGCGCGCTGGATTCGCTCGCGGATAAACGCGAGCACCGGCTCGCTGGTAAACCACTGCATGGAACACCGACCCAGCTCGGGCCGCCACACGCGATACGCCACGTTGGGACGGCTTGTCCGGTCCCGAAATATATGGACTTGCTCGCGGGAATACTCCATGCGCCGGAATAACTTCGCCTCCAACCGCGGCGGCAACGTGGCAGTTAATAACACTATCTGGGTTCGCGCGTGGTTCAACCGCCCCAGCTGTCGCAACTCGGGTCGGAAATCCGTTTGGTCGTTTAATATCACATGGCATTCGTCGATCACGATCCGGTCTAACCGGCGTGTTTGCTGCAACCGGTTAATAAACATTTGAAAATCCTCCTGCACCGCGGATTCCGATGTGACCAGTACAATTGTCGCTTCGTCCGGTGGCCGTCGACTATCCCATTTAATGCAGGATATACCCAACTCGCGACAGCGCCGCACCATATCGTTCCGCAATGATATTAATGGCACGACCACAATGGTAGTACCACTGGGCTCGGCGAATACAGGTAACATAAACAACATGCTTTTTCCCCTCCGGTGCGCATAATGGCGACCACCGGGCTCTTGCCGTCCTGAATGGCGCGCAACGCCGGTGCTTGGACGCCCGGAACTGGATATCCTCCTGCCCGGTCATGTGCTGCAACGTCGTGCGCATATCTGCGATATTTAACCGGTAACGTCGGACCACTCGGCCCTCCTCGGCTTCGTCCTCCCACGGTGATCTCTTGCGCTTCCCCAACGGGCTGGGCTCCGCGGCGGATACAAACCCCAAAACTGTTGCCAATCGGTGCTGGAGAGCCGAAACATTGCGCGGCGATGCGCCGTGGTCCCGGGCTGCTTTATAATACCACGGCCATACACTCCACCCGCCAATTGGGATGAATGCGCCGCCTGCAAATCCATAATATAGCCTAACCACTGCTCCTTGTCTATACCCCTCCTCGGTGTCGGCGTTTAGCACGGCCTGTGCCAAGTCTCTCTCCTCCTGCATATTGCTGGCAAACGCGGCAGTGGGTCGCAAAATTGGCGGCTAATCCCAATAGCGATATCCCGATACCACTGGATATTAATAGCCTCTTTTAACCGGGTCTTGGTTTCGTGCTTTAACACCTCCCGGAACCGCTCGGACGTCCATTTGCGCCGGGTTCCGGGGTCGGGGCCCCATAAAACGCATCCTCGTGGACCTGCGCTGCGTGCGTGCCCTGCGCCGTTGTGCCCTGCGCTGCGTGCGCGCCCTGCGCTGCGTGCGTGCCCTGCGCCGTTTGTGCCCTGCGTTGTGTGCGTGCCCCGCGTTGCGTGCGTGCCCTGCGTTGCGTGCGTGCCCTGCGCCGTGGTGGTGCTTTGCACTGTGGTGGTGTCCTGCGTTGCGTCCATGCCCTGCGCCGTGGTGCCCTGCGCCGCGTGTATTCCCTGCGTGCCCTGTGTTGTGTTCGTGCCCTGCGCTGTGGTGCTCTGCGCTGCGCCCCCTGCGTCTCCTTCGCATGCCATGCGCTTAGTTGCTGCACAAATGGGAATACTAACTATAAATACCACACAATTAATTCACCCACCTCCCGTGGCACAAATCGATAAATAATCTTTATATTGTTACTTGTGTAAAACCCTTGTGGTACGCCGTCACCAACGCCACTATCCCATCCTCGATATAGATATTGCGCTGTCGATTCGCCACGGTATTTACATGTTAAATACTTAATAACTCGGGTGCGCGCGCTGGCTGGCCGGATACTATATAAACAAGCACTACTAATTTCTCTTTAAATCATGCCACGCGCTCTAGATACTGCGCCACCTTTGGCATATGCAGCCGTCGGGCTTGGCGCTGGACAGTAAACTCCTTCTGCATGGCCGGCTCGGCCCGCAACCAGCCGATCATCCATTTGGGCCCCACCGGCCATTGCGTGCGCTGATCCCGCAAAAATTCTATCCCACCGTGGCCTGCATGGGGTCGTCGTAGATCGCGTGCCATAGAATACTGGGAATATCTTCCCGCGCCGTCACGCACAGTATCTCGCACAATATCTGGCGTGTGGCCCCGACCAATCCATGGACAAATCCGCAGAAATCGCCCCTGGTAAATGTGATATGCTTGTATCCGAGCTCGTCGCCATGGTTTTATGTAATGTGCCCGGGCGCTGTGGTGTTATAATAAATCTTTAATCCGTACGTGCGCCAATCCTGCAACGTTTGTATTGGGCTGTGGGTGCCATGCACTATAAACCGCTGCACCATCCACTCCACGTGCTCCTGGAATGTTTTCCCGCGATTCTGCCGGCGGATATTCACTATCGGTTGGGGATTACTGCTGGTAATGGGCGATGTGGGGGCGACGATGGGATACCTTGCTCCGGTTAACTATAATATCCCTCGTCCGAATAAATATCCTCCAGCTTGTCGTCGGCGCTGGCAAGCACCCACTGCGCGCAGTTACTCTTCTTCTGCCACACCGCGATAATCTCCTCCGGATTCGGATCCAACCAAAGCGCTTTCTGGACGATTATAAAGCGCGCCACCTTGATCACGCGCGATAAGATCGGGGATAAGTCTCCGGGCCCTGCTATCGGTCCCGGCCCTATTCCAACACAGCTATGGCATATACAAGCACGCTCTCGTACTCGTGGCTACACTGCTTTTAGTTCAGCAACTCGATGCAGAACTCCAAACATGCACCTTCGATCGGGGTCATACGCCATGCTGTGTCCTCGTCCTGCGGCTGGCCGGGAATATCCCGGTGGGTAGTGGCGAGGTGCCATAACTGCCGCCATTTCTTGCGCTGCCGTGCTGTTATGCCGTACGGGGACTCGTCCATGCGTGTGGTGCCTGGGTGCGCGTGATAAACACTAATATTTGCTGCCATGGCTGCATATGCTTAACCACGCTCTCGGGATCCATATACACCTGCAACGGTCGATATGGTGTTTGACCCTTTTCGGATCAGATTGCTTCAATACAGATCGCCTGGCCGCTGTGCTGGACCACGCGCTGGCTCTTGCGCATAACCTGCTCCATGGCGGCCCAAATATGGCGCACGCCCTGCTCCACGGGGTCTGTGGGCTCTTCCTCGGGCGGCGCCACGCTGTCGGCCAGATCCTTTGGTGCGATTCCTTCCAAATACTCAGACCACCTGGTCATGCGCAGCCATGGGTTAGTGTTGGTAATATTAGATGCCTGAATTATACTCTGCTGGACTGCACCTCTTTCCACGCGTTCTCCAGCTCCTGGACAGCGTGCTGGATGTCCTCCATGTCCATGGCAGTGGCTGGCTCGTTGGTGGTCTGGTTGGGAAATCGAATATAAATATAATGGGAACCCATCCCGCCGGGGAATATCTGCTGCCATGACACGGGCTTAAATAATCGCTGGATCTCTGCTGCTGCACGAATCTGGTCGGCTTTGCGAGCCCGCCCGCGACGACCGTGGGGGGACCAACATTACACGGGACCAATAACCCGCATAGACTCAATTGATTAATAAATTCACATGTGGATAATCGCTGGATAGATTCACTGTGCGCACATGGGATCACGGGCAATGATAGTCCAATCGCGTGGGGATCTGGATCTTATTCGGATCCTGCTTAATATTATCCCACTGGGACACCGTGGTGGCAATCTGCACCGCCTCGTGTGTGATTTAAATGATGTGCTTTAATGCTACCTCTCGGCCGGACACCAAACTACATTTCCGGCAGATAATCACCCTCAGCTCGGGGATCCTGGTAAATAATTGCTCGGCCATGGGACGGATCGAATCTGGTTGAATACTGGGATTGACACTGGTTGAATAATATGGAATGGATAATATCAGTCGAAGTTCTGGTGGTTACCCCTTAATAACATGCCATGCTAATCCCTCATCGGGATGGCTACGGCAGCACCCCAACAAATCTAGTCTACTTTTTCGGCTCCACAACACACCACCTTCCCGGGCGAATTTGGACCTCCGGAGCGACCAGTTTATAAAATGGACCGGGAGTATTTATCTATAAAATTTTAAGAACAATTGGACCATGGGATCTATTTGTACGAGCCGTGGAACTGCAAATGTATGAGCCGTGGGTGACCCACATTACCAGCCAATCAGAGGCCGTCTTCCCGCACACCCTAATTGTATAACTCCGCCCGTACACCATGGCTTGTGGAGGGCACCCAGCTGAGCAGGACCCAAAATTAGCTCAGCGGGACTCAGAAAATTCTGACTAATTTGGGTCCTGCCCAGCCCCCGTACTTAAACGGGACCCAAAAACCTGTATTATATAATATTATTTATTGAATTTCCTAATTTAGCTAGTCTACATTTTTTATTTGTTTACCTTCTCATATATTAAAGCAAGATGTTTTGGTAGTTCAAAGATCTAATTCTGTTAAGAATAATAGAAGATGACGCATTCTTATTTCCCACCACCCCTATTCGGGACTCCTGATCCTAAAATTGTTACAAATACACAAGCAGTAGCTAGCGCTGCATTAGAAGTTAATCGTATTCTTTACGATTTTCCAGCTGTAAGTTATTCCATTATATGTTGCGCATATGCTGAACGTATGTTATATTTTAGCGACAGAGATCCAACTCCGAAAGTTCTGTATACCAGGACTGTATTGATGAATATTAATCATCTGATGCTAGTTCTAGTCAGGACGACGAGGAAAACAAGAGTTCTCTAGGTTCTACTTCTGTATTAGATCTCAGCGACATAGATGTCTCTGCAAATGGGACTAAAGTTAGTGGTAGCAGTAGAGATGCTGTAATTGCTTACGAAGTCCAAGAACATCTTATACTTCCAGAGTATCCTAATACAGATAATAATAGTGTTCTACATATCATCCATGCCTCGAAAAATCCACTCCAAGATATGGAAAGTAATTCTTGTATAGTAAATCAAGTATTTACTTAACTTATATTATTTATATGTTTTACATATATTTAACATATGCGCTAATATCCCTAGGTTTAATTTTTAACCAAACATCTTAAATCTGCGAGGCAAATATATACAAAACTTCTGCAGAAAGATCCCAAAGATAAAGAATCAAGATCATGGCATCGATCTTATTAATGTACAGGGATTCAACATTGCCATTAAGTCCACCATAATCTTATTACCTTATTACCAAGGTATAATCGGGTTAAACCAACGCTATTTCTTAAGCTTTAGTCCCAGGCTGCGAAACCTGTATATAACACTGTTAGCCAATTAATTAAGCAGCGAACAAGAGAGTATATTATTTCCCCCCTTTATTTAATATATAGTTAGCTTATAAATATAGGCTCTACTTTGGATTTCTCTATACATGGGACCTTAATAGGCCATGCTGTTATATAACTGGTAATCAGACATGCAGAGGACAAAAGCCAAGAGTATGGGTTCGGAATGGAGTTAGTATATATACTAATTATATATTAAATATATACTAACTATAATCAGGTTACCTTTATTAGTTGCCCTAATAACTCACCTCACCAAACTTGGCATTATGCTCAGCCTGTGTCTAGGAGTTCTGCAAGGGTAGATATTGGGTTGTTAAAACTTCTTTGTAACAAAGATGGAATGCGAGCAACAGGTTATAATACTAGGGATTGCCATTTTATCGAGCATCGCTTAGCTAAGTGTTAACATTTTGGTAAGTTAGGCTTTCCATATGCTTAGCATATGTAAATAATATACTAATAGTATATTAGACTTTATACATGCTGATGGTGTTGGTAAACTTACCAAAACCAAGTGCTCTGTCAAGATTAATCTTTATATCCCTTGCTCATGGAATCGCTTTCTATTTTTTCTTATTATATTTCAAGGGTCTTATTCGCATTTTCCGCCGTCACCGACAAAGCTATCGTATAAGATTGGGAAAGAAATTGCTGATGCGATTAATATACAGGATATTCTTGGGTTAACCGCACGTATGCATTCTTTTATAAAGAGAAATATTATATTATTAACTATAATTTAGGTAAATTAATGGTTTCACCTATATTTACGAAAATCTTACATTAATATGGTGATTTTACACTATAATATATCCACAAAAGTTTACATATTGAGGATAAAGTAACTGCTTTAATTTATAAGCAGAAACTACTATATTATCCACAAGGTACAAGTCTTGCTGGTGTGTGGCGTGAATACCAGTTTAATCTAACCAAGAATAATAATAAACAATGGATCCGCGAAGTCTATTTCTTTGATAAACATCAGGAATATTATCTAATTATATGCTGTATATATGAACAAGCTAAGCTTTTTTAAAGTATGCAATATCTTGAGATGGATCTTGCTTTTAAAATAGTTTAGGGAAAGACTAAGGTGTTTTCAATTTCTGCATGGATGAGCATGCAAGAAGTATAGTTTTACCCTATTCTAAGGATATTATTTAAATATGTTAAACATATGCTAACTATATTAGGATTAAATACCTATGTCTATGCTTTTATGAATCTTGAGACCCGTGTTGCCTATCGGATTCTTTTTGAGAAAATATTTAAGATTCTTGGAGACGTTGGGCGGAAGCCTGTTATTATTATTATATTATTCTTCCATATTATAGAGCATTTTTCAGTCAGAGACTATGCATGCTCTACCTACCACCCCTGGGTGGTAGGATTTGAACTAACAAACAGATACGTACATAGTGGGTAGAATCAAACATGAATAAGCAGTATGACATTCTAGGAGTGGGGAGGACCTTATAAAAGGGGTTAAACCATGCGAAATTCCAATTCTTTTTTTTTTTTTTTTTTTTTTTTTTTTTTTTTTTTTTTTTTTTTTTTTTTTTTTTGTTTTAGGGATCCAGGAGCCACTTTCTAGTGGCGATCCCGGTTTCCTTTAAGAATTTAACCAGTTGCTCTTGCCCTGCTTTCTTTGTAAACAGATAAGGCAGATTTCGGTCTTTTTTGTCTAGGGTCTCTATAGACCCTTTTCTAATATCCCTAAATGCCTGGCACTGAAACAGTAGGTGGTGCGGAGTTTGGCGCTTGTTGCTGCGGCATGATGTGCATATATCACTATCATAGTTAGGTGTTCGAACTAGATAGGATCTAAAATACCCATGCCCTAGCTTTAGCTGGATAATGGTTGACCAGGTCTGCTTGGGAAGCTTTAGGGGGCTTGGTTTCCATGAAGCTATGGAATTAAAGCCCCTATATTGATACTTTTCCTAGCATTTTCCCATGCTTTATCCCAATCCTCAAGGCATTTCGCTTTGAGCTCTCGTTTGAGATGGCTAACTGAAATAGGACATTTGTAATATTTACTTGTCCATTCTGCGCCATATTTCGCTGCTTCGTCAGCTTTGGCATTACCAAAAATTCCCTGATGGCCTGGAACCCATTGGATATGAATATTGATATTCTTTTCCTTAATTCTAGTTGCCCATTTAAAGGTTCTTTGGTATGGTTCATAGCTGGTGTCTGCTGATTGAAGCCTTTTTAGGGCTGCTTGACTGTCCGAAAAGATGTAGATATCTAAAGTTGGAATTTGAATAGCCTTAAATGCTTGTTTTAATCTTTTTGATAGAAATAACTCCGCATCGTAGACCTCGTATTCATGACCTAGATTCCACGCCCAAACCTTTTGATTTTGAGGATTATTCTCTAGGAGGAAAATTCCTGCTCCGTTTTGACCACTCTGCAGCTGGGATCCATCTGAATAGAAGATAATTTTGTGGTTATCCCTATTAGCAAGCCATTGAGATATTAGCGTCTTGTGTTCCTGGGCTGCTTGCTCTTTCGGTTTGCTAGATATAGATATATCTACTACTTGGTTTAACAGTTGGGACCAGGGCGGTAGGGTTTGATCTAGCGTCTGAAAGGTGCCTTTCCACGTCTTAAAGGAGAATAGTGCTAGCAGTCGGATTAACTGGCTAGGGTATTTTTCTTTTTCTCTCTCTAGGGTGGTATTCAGGGTCTTCTGCATCTAGTAATCTAGGTTTCTCGTTCCAATCCAAAAACCTTGATTGGTCAATGGAGAATTCCCCGGGTTTAGTATAAATGTGGTGGGGAGTCTGCTTTGAATTGCATGGGATTTTATAAAATAAGCAGTTCTAAGTACATAGTTTCTGCAGATTTTATTAAATCTAACCAACGGAGGGGTAGGGATGCTTCTATTTCCATGGCCTGTACAGGCGATGTTTTAAAAGTCCCTAGAATCTTTCTCAGAGCTGTGTTTTGCAGTTTTTGGTAGTGGTCTACCAAATACTGTTGGCCTTTCCACCATAAAGGGACTCCATAATCTGCAATGGAGGAAACACAAGCA